TTATATGTAATAAGTTGCATATTAAGAATATAAGCATAAATTTCATCTTAAAAGTTCTATGTAAAGATCCAAAACTTTTAACCAAATTTTTACATAACGAATTTAAAAATGATAATGTTTAAGACTTTTTTATAACAACTTTTTTGAAAAATAAAAGAATAAATTAAATACTTACCTAATTCTATTGATGGAACTGAAACTTAAAAATTTTAATAAATTTGTACTTAAATAATTTGAATATAGATGATTCTTGAAAAGTGAGAATTGACTCGTACACAAAATAAGGAGACTTTAATATAACAATTGATATGCATCACTTCTGTTATATGCTAGGGATAAAAATATTGTCTTTTTTATCTTTAAGTTTTAAAACTGATGAATTTTCTCAACAAACTGAAAATTGCTCAGACAAGAATAGTTTACTTGTTGAAACAAAAATCCATTTAACTACATTTTAAGAAAAATTGGTACAATTTTTCTACCCACAAAATCTTGCTTACAAATACATGTTTAGAGATAGGCAATTAGCAGAATTTGATAATCAATTAATCATTGAGCTCATTAATAAATTACAATCAACTAATTGAGTACTCTCATAAGAATTGAACAGTTAGAATAATATGAAATCACAAAAGCTAATCAATTAGTTGTTTTTATCATGAGTCATGATACTAATTGATTAAGCTTAAATTAATCAATAATGATAAATCATAATGGCAATATTTCAAGTACTTGGATAGTTGGAATATAGAAAACAATAATAACTAATTTCAATTAGTTGTTTATTTTCATGACATTAACTTATTTAACCATAATTTCAATTATGCAGTTATTTTACTTGACACCAATTGATGTTATTAATGTTTATAGGTAATCAATTATACAGAGTTAATTACCCAGCTCTATACATGTTAGATATTTAACATTTATACAAAATTATTTGTCACTGCTAATTGTGCAATATTTGTGGTTCACATATTATAAATTGTAACAGTTTAGTAATTAAGATATCCTTTAATGTAAAATGTATGTCATCCATTTCTCTGATGTTTTAAACCAGCCCTTTCTGCTAACTTTAGCTCTATAACTCCCAAGATAAGACCTGCCTCTTGGGCTACATGTATATTAAATAGTTTTCTCAATTCTGCACATAATAATGCATACATTTACACTTTACTTGCAAGGCTTATATGCTTGAGAGTCAGTTAGAGGACTAGAAAAAATTGCTCTATGAGACAGAAGAAAATAGATCAGGAGTCAAGGGTGTAAGTCAAGAAATAGGTAATCTTAGGCTAAAGGATTTTCTTGGGAGAAGGTGAAAATGAGAGTGCTGGGTTTACAAGGGTTCACAGCAGTAAAAATGTTAAGGCTATAGAGTCAGGTTTAGTTAGCATACAGGTAACAGTTAACAAATTTGAACATTTGGATCCTTGCAACATGAAAGAAGGTGATCAATAGGTGTATGTAATATGGAACTCTCTTATTAAGTATTCTGTTAAAGTTATTTGTAACAGAAAGTACAAAAAGTCTGGGGCTAGCAAGTTGCTTGCCAGGACATTATAATGTATTGACAGTGTAGCTGCTGGTACAAAGGAGCACTCTTTCTTTGTAGCATAATTAGGAGCAAACATTGTTGCAAATTGCAAATGGAAAAAATGGCTTCAAAAATTTAAAGTCCTTCAGAGGTTTAGGGATACAAATAGATCTCTTATAAAAGTGTTCCCTCAGGCTAAGTGCAGGAATGAATTACTTGGCATGGTTCAAGGCTTAAATGAAAGATTATCAGGTTAGAGTAATAAGAGTGCTGGTTGGACCTGTGAGACAGTGTTCAGAGAAACAGTGAATTGTATGCTAGAAATGACCTCCACTTACATTATAGGGTCGGCAGCAGGATGTATGGGAAAGGTCTAAAGAAGTTCTTTGAAGGCAGTTTAAACTTGCATAGTAGTGAGGGGGTTTGGGAATAAACAATTTATGATAGCAAGGGAAAACAGGAGACTGAAAAAAAGATTTAGAGCATAAGTTAAATAATAGTTTTAAAGATAAGTTACCAATGTGGATGCCCATGAAATAGCTGGGGGGATATATGTAGGGGGATCAGCTTTTACAGTGTAAGTCAACAGACTAAAAGAATATGTCATGTGCGCTTAAATGCAAACACAAATTTACAATTTTAATAAAAAATTACTAAATATATTTAGTTTAACTACAATGTTAAGATTACACCATAACACACAATTTTTTGTGAAATGTGAAGGGGGAGCGAATGCCCTCTCTTGTCCCTTCCTGCAGGCACCCACGGTTACCAATTTTAAAGATATACACAGCAGATTCTAGAACAAGCTCAGTTGCTATTGTTCTAATGTTAGAAGTATTAAGAACAAAATTATCAGTTCAGGACTGAAGTTGAAATGGAAGATTGTGATATAAACATAAAAGGAATTACTGAAACTTGGTTATACCTGAAGAATATTTATAATAGAAATTTTGATATTCCTGGTTAGAAGTTACTTAACAGTGACAGACTTTCTAAAAGAGAGGGTGTAATGTCTCCTTACATAATGAATGACCTGCAACTTATAATGACAAAAACAACAATTAAGGAATGGAATATATATGAGTTACAATGAGGAGCTTAATGGACAATTGTTATAGGTTACCAAATAAGAGGGAAGGGTTATTGATAAGGATACTGATGTAATAATCATGAAAGATTTCAATTTTAGACACATTGTTCTGGATTATTAGAAGTCAAGAAGTGAGGGAGAGGACCACTGAAATGTTTCAGTATGTTTTTCTACACCAAATGGTCAAGAAACTAAGAAGAAAGGATGCCATTTTAGATGCAGTGTTAACCACTAATTAAGATGAGGTTACAAAAGTATGGAAGCTTTTGGGAATGAGTTAACATAGCAGAATCAAGTTTGATGTTTTGCTACAGATTGAGATAATGAAGAAAAATTAAATTTTAATTCCTAATTTCCAGAAAGCCAATTTTGAGGCCAAGAAACAAGATTTAACATCAGCTACTTGGGATTGTGATTAAAAATAAATTACTTTTAATTTGAGAGACCTGTAGACACATTCCCAACAAGAAAAGAAGGACAACAGGGAAGATCAAAACTAACTAACTTACTAAGTGCAAAAAGAAGAAAAATGAAGGAAAGTTTAAGAAACTTAAATTGACAGATAGGAATAAAAAATCTACAGAACAAAAGAAACCTAAGGATTTGTTTTAAAAAAAGATATTAGAAAATCAAAAAAGGCATATGAGAAACAACTAGATGATAATGTTAAAACCAACAACTAAGATTTTTTTCAAGTATGTTGGAGATGCACAGTACGTTAAAATGGTGACTGGACCTCTAAACAATTCTGAAGGCAAGGTTTTCTGATAAAAGCTATGTGAACTTTTAAACATTCTTCTTTTTGTTTTTTTGCAAGAGAGAATATCAGCAATAATTTTGACCCTGAGCATATGAAAAATATTAGAAATGTCCTCAGTCACATAGAAATTCATCCTTTGCTAGCAACTAAAAAGAATTAAGGGATTAAAAATACCAGATAGAGTTTCCCCCAGGAACTTAAAGGAGGTTAAAGATCAGATATGCAAGCCTCTCTTAATATTTATGTCAATAGACAGTGTGTAGAGCCTTATAGTTAGAGATTTGCCAAAATTACTCCCATTTTTAAAAAGAGATGATAAAAGTTGCCCTGGGAATTATACACCAGTTTACATTACTTCTTTAGTTAGAAAAATTATTGTATCTGATTAAAAAAAACTTTATAAAATCATTTAGTGAAGTAAAAGAGTGTTGACATTGATATAATAAAGGAACATCTTACTTTACAGACCTGTTACCTTTTTTTCCAGATATTAGTTATCTGGATGATGGAAAGGGTGTGGACTTGGTGTACTTTGATTTTCAAAAAGCTTTGGATAAGGTGCCAAACAGAAGATTAGCTAAGAAATTCACATCAATGGAAGGTACAAAAACACTAATTAATTGGATTGAAGGGTGGGTGGGTAAAAGAAAGTTATAAGTTTTTATTAATGGAGTTCAATCAAACTATAACCTTGTTATTGGTTACGTGCTTCAGGAGTCAGTCCTTGGCCTTTATTTTTTTTCTTATTTACATTAATGATAATGCTAGGGGCATAATTAGTAAATTAGCAAAGTTTACTGAAGATATTTAGGTACTACATGTAAAAATTACCGTGAACAGTTGGTAAGTTAGACAAATAATTAGCAAGTGCCCTTATACTACAGTAAGTACATTTGAATTATCGTAACTTGAATCAAATGTTTAATAAAGATTGAATGCACTCATTAAAGTGGTTTAAGAACAGAATCTTAGTAAAAAAGTTTGTTTTATTCATATTTATTTTGATGTATAGTAATAGAAACAATGCATACAATTGTTGATATGGTGATCCTAAAATTAATCTATTTTGGTTGACATTTCTGTAACTAATGATATAAAAATATAAAACTAATGATAAAGAAGTGATGTCACAATTTGCTTTTAAACACACTTTAGGAGGTCCATCCAATAGCTACTCAATAGTTCATACCAAATGCTGACACAAATTTTTCATATCATATAAGTGAATATAACCCAAACTTATATAATACTAGTTATAAAACTATAATCATTACATAGGATAAAATCAAGGAAAAATAGTTGCCATTTCTCTCATTCATTGGCTTTTCTGGTAGAGATAATTATTTTTTATAATCAGTAAATTAACTAGTTCTACTAGAGTACGAGCTGAATTTTGAGATGAAATTTGTCATTATCTAATTTTTTTTGTATGTTAAATGTATTAAAAAGACTAATTTTTGAGATACTTTATAAAAAAATTACACAAAAGTGATACACTTACATCCTTGTGTGTGAGTGAGAGGATCTTTGTAGAGATGTTGTATTCTTCCAGTGTTAAATGAACTAGAACGTCTTATGACTCCATGAACTTCATATCCTTTTTCTAACAGAAACTGTGCTAGATAAGATCCATCCTATGAGAAAAAAAAAAAGATGAAAATATGTATAATATGTGTACATTTATATTTTTAACCCTTGGTACTGTATAAAAGTACTCTTTTTCAAAACATCTCAATTTAAACATTATATTTGTTTCCTTGCTATACTACTTTAATATTTTACTTCATTATCATACTCAGTTCCTTCTCCAAGAATTTAAATATACAATTCACACATTTATACATATCAAGGCTAAAATTTTCTTTTTGAGTTTGACCACTAAAAGTTGCCTGTCACATTGTGTGTTGGCCAACAATTTTGAATATTGACTGCCAAAGTTTTAAATATGTAAAAATAACTTGAAATTCATTTATGCCTCATCTTGTGTCTATTTTATAGGAAGCAATAACATTTTCTTCAAAACTTTTACTCAGGTATAACTGATATCTTTTCTGGTTAGTAACATCACTCTTTTAGAACTGACTCAATGTACTTTCACAAATATTAATAAAACAAGTTTCATTTTACTCATGAATATCTTTTAATTTTCCCCAAATATTCTTAGGATCCATTGCATCTGCTTTGCACTTGCTGGTGCTTTTGATGTATGTCTGTCTTCTTGATATTCCACCATCTAATTACAGAAGGGGTTTATGAAAACTTAAGAACAAACTACAGAACTAGGAATATTTTTTGTTTCATTACATTACTTTTGTTCATGAAAGTGCTTGTGTGTTAAATTATACCTTTTTGAAAGCTACAGAAATTCTCTTCAGTAAGAAAACATCAGATAAACTTAGTTAGGTCTAGTGGGTACAGTAGGCAATGGCAAAATATTCTGATGAATGAAATCATTATAAATTGAATATTATTTTTATGTTTCTTGTACTGAAACAATGCATGCAAATAATTAAGTTAATTGTTTACTTGATTACTTCTAACTGCAATCATGATATGTTTTAAATAAAAACATTATTACAGTTATCAGTAATAGTTTTTATTATTTGATTTACAGTGTAAGATTACTGCATATTTTAAAACCAAACAAAACAGCAGCATCATGGTCATCTAGACACTAGTGATTCACCAAGTAGGAAATGTTTAAATTACCTTTAAAGTTATAATTTTCCAAAACTGAAAATGTATTTCCGATAGACACTTACCTCCACTCATGAAATAGATTTTCTCAATTAGTACTGCTCATTATAAGCACACATTTTCAATGCTTGCACCTCCAGCTTCTGCATATCCACATGCAAATGATTATACAACAGCTCTCCACCAATAGGAGTGTGACACAACTCCTATTGTAACCAGCACCCTCTCCACATTTGCACTCGTTTAACACTTTGAGATTGGTCATAGGACCTACACCACATATCACAAGAAGTGGGAAGGCTGGGTGAGAAATGTGAGAGGAGCTAAATATCTATCGGAAATACATTTTCAATTTAGGAAAATGTTAACTTCCGATACGATATCTTACCTCCTCTCACAAAATAGCTAGAATTCCACATTTTATTGATGGAGGGCCAATGAAAAAAATGATCTCCCCTTTAGGAAGCACACAAAGAGAGACTGTGAGATGTGGAACCAAAACAGAAAATATCACATCTCTGCAGGAGACTGCACCACATCTGATCCAGGTATTCTCTTTGCTCTTTTATGACTGTCACCAACATAAAAAGAGGAAAAACAAGAAGGAATCCATATTATCTATTAATGGAACCCATGGGCGTTGAGTGGCTAGGGCACGACAGACCATAGTGGTAGTTCAACCTCATCCAACACCTGGCAGTATCTGGAATTGTACAATAATTCCGCAGTAGGTAGAGGATCACCTACCTCTTTACCTTGAAATAGGAATTGGTAGGGAAGACAAGCTTCCATACCAAAATTAGACTCCACTTGCATGCATTTCCAAACCAACTAACACCTGATCCATCATGAACCGACATCCAGATGATGGTAGGAAGGTGGAAAGCCCTGGTGGGATGACATTTCCAGTCCAAAACCTAGTGGCAATGGGTATGTTTCTTCCAGTCTGTGATAGGAGGAGGATACCCGACCATACACAAGTGGGAATACATGTGCTACATCCAGCTACAACCAATACCAGAGTTATTGACATCCAGCAGATGGTAGGAAGAGAGACTACAAATCTGGGGTGCATCTCTAATCCAAAACCTGGCAGCATTGGGGCATTTTTCATCCAGTCCACAGTAGGAAGGGCACCATGCCATTGTCATGGTTATAATCATGGTTCAAATCCCCATCCCACTGTACATGCTCACCCTTTCAGCTGTGGGGGTGTTATAATGTGATGATCAATCCCATTATTATTTAGTAAAAGAGTAGCCCAAGAGGTGATGGTGAGAGATGATCTGCCTTCCCTCTAGTCTTTCACCACTAAGCTAGGAATGGCAAGCACATATAGCCCTGTGTGGCTTTGTGCAAAATTCAATACAAATAAAATTTCTTTGTGGCAGTTATCAAATAGCATATACAAATGCACAGAAAACTGAAACTTTCAAAAAACCACTTACAGAACACATTCAAAACATACAACAAACCAGACATGAGCCAATATCACTTTAATACTGTAAATGAACATATCACACAAAATCAAACACTATACATTCTCTCCTTCCCAGTATGCATACACAAGTCTAAACATACATTGATACAAGAACTTCAAGAGGACCAAGACAAAGAAACAAGCTTTGTAACTGCTTACATCACCTAAACATAAGTCATTACAGCAATTAAATAAACAAAAACAAAGCTACAGGAGACAATGGCATAGAGTATTGTTTTAACCACCTGACTTTTTTTAACCCATCCCTTAAAATTAAATCAGGGTCCATCCCAGTCTCTTGGAAGCATGCGAATATGTTTATGTTCCTTTAAGAAGGAAAACCAGCAAATCAACCAGAAAACTACTGACCAATCTTTGAACGAATAATAACTTAAATAAGTAACAGACTAAATACATTTCTGGAAAATAATTCACAATTACCTGAACTGAAGTATAAAACGGCTTCCGGAAGTCTCGGCAAACGACTGACCATTTACTGATTTAGTCACATTGATTAACAGAAAAATCACCAAGAGTTTTAACATAAATGAATGCACTGTCACGTGCTTTCACTAACAGTGACAGCTAAAGTCTAACAGTTATACACTAATAATAATACTAGTAATACAGTTTTCTCAATTTTCGATACCATTATTTAGTTTATTAGGATTACCAGGACCAGCTCACTGCCTCCCTAAACTGTCGTCGACTACTAAAGTCTAATAAAGATAAAATGCAAGTGTAACAAAATAAAACATTTCGATTTACATACGAGTATTCTATCAGTTTTTGTTTGTTTTCGTGAAATCCTTTAGACCGGGAAGATGGTTGTGAATGTGAGGAACCGCCGTCGGTCCGAGTGCCGATGGTTGAGAAATACCGGTCTAATACTAATAGTAATAATACTATTAGTATTACTATACTCATACTCATACAAATAAACTTTACAAATTATATTTATAACATTACTTCCGTTTTCACTAATAACAGTTATTCCTAATTATTAATAATATTAGGCTATAGCAAACTTACCTGACCAGTAATGCCTGTGATTAAAGCAACATTATGTTTGTTATTCAAATTATTATTCATTCTTGGACGGAATGTTATTATCAATGTCAGACTATAATTACAAAATCCAGAAACTATGGAATACAACCACACTCAAATACCAACAAGCTAAATCTGGTTTATCGTTCAAACGCACTTTGCGCAGCATATTGACAAATCACCGAGCCGGTTATGACGACATTTCCGTTCGGTATAATAAAACCTGGTACCAACATTACATTATTTAAACAGTTAAAAAGAACATTAGTGTTATTCGCTATTAACTTAAAAGAAGGAAATACTTTTTTATTTTCAAGTACATTTTATTTATTGTTTATTTTCGTATATTCCCCTGAAACTATTCAAGGGCTTTTTGCGCTAGGAAGGTTAACATTACCCACCGCCAATTATTTTACCAACAAATAACGCCCCACGAATGGAAGGGCAAGCATGTTTGGTGTGATAGGGATTCAAACCCACGACCTGTAATTTGCGAAACGAGCGCCCTAACCATCAGGCCATGCCAGCCCTGACAAGTTTTGCAAATTGTCATATGTTCCTTATTGTAGTTCTTTAACAAACTTTCAATTATCCTATAGTTTTGTTTCTGCTCCCCCTATCAACAGAACTTTCACCTGACTCCCAGCAGAAATTGTTGAATCATGTCAAACATCTAAAAAAACATGATCTCTTGTACACACTTGTTAGCTTTGATTGTTTTAATGAAGATTATCTCACATTGTCATACAATGTATACAGTCTCTTACGTTCTTCAAAATCAGTCAAATCAGAAAAATTGGATTTACTCAGGAAAACATTTTCTGTCCAAGCTTCTGTTATTATTCAGACCCTTCCCAGTTACTCTTAGGAGAAATCAATGCACCTGAGAATACCACAATACTACACTTACATTGACTCTACTCCATATTAAGTTTGCAATGAATTAAATATTATCACATTTGTTGACTTAATTGAATTTAAACTGAGAATTCTAAGTAATTAAATTATTGTTTTGTATTCTTAGTGTTCTGGTTGTGTATGAATACTTCGAAAACATTAACCACTTGGTAAGACTTTTCTACTTTGAGGTTTCCTGTCTTAACAAACATTTATTTGTAAATCTGTATTTGTATAGTGTAAACTGAAGGGTTTTACGTTTTCATATTTTGTCAGTCTGTTGTGTATAACATTGGTTTGGTTTGTTTTGAATTTTGCGCAAAAGCAACAAGAAGGCTATCTGCGCTAGCCGTCCCTAATTTAGCAGTGAAAGACTAAAGGGAAAGCAGCTAGTCATCACCACCCACCGCTAACTCTTGGGCTACTCTTTTACCAACAAATAGTGGGATTGACCGTCACATTATAACGCCCTCACGGCTGAAATGGCGATCATGTTTGGTGAAACAGGGATGCGAACTAGGACTTCATCGTATCAAGCCCTCAAAAATGGTAGTTCCCCCAATCCACCCTTGGTGCAATTTTCGCGCTACTCTTGTCAAAAAATAAAAGTGTTGTAAAGCACGAATTTGCGTTTTCCCAATTATTCAATGGAATACATTCGTTTTTCTTCCTTTATGAGTTACTGATCATGAAACATAATTGATCGTAAATAAATATATTTGAACTCTGGAATCAGATTTTCATAAGCGACACAAAACGAACTGAGTTTATGCGATCGGTATTTATTATTTTTCTTGTTCAAAGGTATTGCCTCATTCATGATTATTTTATAATTTTTAATCAAGTTAATATTACCATGGATTGTGATAAATAAAAAAAAAAACACTGACTATTTTTTTAATTCTTTTGGAGGTAATAGTGTATGCTTGTCTGTGAGAAAGCAATTTTTCCATTTAATAAATATTGCCAATATACCATGCCAGGTATTACTTTTATGTTACCGGATGTGTGTGGCTTTGAGGAGGGGCTAATGCTAAGATTGTTTTATGTGTTTTCACATCGTGTGAAATAGTAATGTAAATAACAGTATATTTGTTTTTCTATTAGAATAGTCGTAATAGAGACAAAAACTACTAGTTTTTGTTTAAACTGAAATAAATCAGTAAATTAATTACTTTAAAAAAAATCAGAGTAGGTGTTACTTGCCTGATGGCAGAAAGAGGTGAAAATGAAATGAAGATGATAACTGCGAAAGCGCCTGTAAATATTGCTGTGGTGAAATACTGTAAGTGGGCTTAGTTATATTTACATCATTCGTGATTTATTATTTCATACCAGTGGGGTGGGTCTTATTTTTTCTTAGGTACTTGCTATATATATTTAAATACTGACATTAAAAATCCAGGTAAAAATATAGGGATAAATTCCGATTTTAGCAACCTAATTTTATTCAATTCAACAGCCGCATTTCTGAAGTAAGTACTAAAATAGTAAATTCTATTAAGTTTAACTATAAGCTTAATCTTTTAAAGTGTTTTGTTTTTATCACTATCCCTGTGACTACTGTCAGTGGCTACAACCTGTGCGAGTACCTAGAATGGTCAATAAATTATTTAAGTTTGCTGATGATATTAAGGTTTTGGATGTTGCTGCCTGTGAAGAGGATGTTGCTGTTTTACAAAAGGATTTAGATCATTTAGTGAGTTGGGCAAATAAATGGTAGATGGGTTTTAATTATAATAAATGCAAGATAATGCATGTGTGTTATCATAATTTGAATTATAAATATAATTTGGATGGGAATATCATTAATGGTATCATGAAGGAAAGGAATCAAGGTTTTCTGGTTGATCAGTCTCTCAAATCATCCAAGCAATGTACTGTTGCTAGTGGTAGGGCAAATAGGATTTTAGGTTGTATCTACAGAAATATTG